AGGTCATGTCACTTCTTTGCGGCAAAACCCGTTTGGCACTCCATTTCACACAGGCTACACACTAAAGGCCTCACATGGCATGCAAGGCCCTACCTACTCAACCTCACCTTACCCTTCTGACCTCCTTTCTGATTCCTCTCCCGTGTGACCCTGTACAGCCGCTGTGCCAGCTTCCTTGCTCTTCTTCAAAGAGACCAAGCGTGCACTACCTCAGGGCTTTGCACTTGCTGTTCCACCTGCCTGGAATGCTCTAACATCTGCTACCTGCATGGCTCGCCCCATCACCTCCTTAGGTGTCACCATCTCACTGAAGCCTTCCCTCGCTACTCTGTTTAAACAAGCAGCCCCCACAGCACTCTCCTTTACCCTGTTTCTGCTTTGTTTTCTCCTCTAACATGAGATATTTTCCTTACTTTGTTTATTGTCCATCTTCCCTTCCCTTCCATGAGAATAAAGAATTTTTGTCTATTCATTGCTATTACATCCCTCAAGACCTGGAGTAAAGTTGGTGCTTTATAACTCTTTACTCAAGGAAGGGATGAGAGGAAGGAAATTCTGATTTGGATGTTTTTAAACTATAAGCAAAATTTTCATGTCATGTATCTATGCTTCATTCTATCGCTGTGAGGCTTATACTCCTCATCATTGCTGTTATGGATAAAATTTCCTATACCTGGTTCGCGGGAGAAGGTTTCCATTTGGTAAAACATGCTGCAGCAGGTTTTCCCCCACAAAGTGCTATCCAATTATGGGGGTGGAATTCCTTAACATAAATAATTTAAAAATAACATTATATATCACTCCTAATCACCATGGCTACCTGGAGTTAGAATGCTTCACAAAAACTGTTTCCTACCTAGCAGCTAATAAGCACTATTTATTTGTATATGATACTCAATATACACTTGTTGACTGATTGGCTTATGTAGTACAGCAAAAATCAGAACAAATAAGTGATATCTCTGGGAATTTACCTATCTAGCAGACATTCTAAGGAACTTTGCTGTAAGTACAGTCTTGGTTTTAGTTAATGGTGAGTCCTAAAATATCCATGGGGTTTTCATTACTATGGACGCTAATTGAATAAGGCATTAGATATTTCATCAGTGAATCACCTCAAAGAATTATATTGCTATAGATACAGCCTTACCCAATAAAATGATTTCTTTTACAAAATAACTTAATTTTCTAAAAGAGTTTATTTATTTGAGAGAGAGAGAGAGCACAAGCAGGGTGGAAGGGCAGAGGGAAAGGGAGAAACAGGCTCCCCGCTGAGCCAGGAACCCGAGGCAGGGCTCAATCCCAGGACACTGAGATAATGACCTGAGCTGAAGGCAGCTACTTAACCAACTGAGCCGCCCAGGCACCCCTAAAATAACTTAACTGTTTATGTAATCATCAAGATATATGGGAAGATCACAAAAAATGGTAATTTTTTTAAAGTGACTTTTTCATGTATTAAAGAAGAGGGGGACATTGAACCCACAAGCAGTAAGAGCAGATTCTCAGAGTGACTTTTATAATGGTAAAACTTAGGTCACTTCTAAATAAAATAGGTGAGGGGCACCTATGTTGGTATAGGGAACATATGTTGGTATATATTGGTATAGGGAAGTTTCCAGAAGCTTTGAAAAACTGACATGTGTAGTATGGGAACTACTGAGACTAAACTGGAGTATTGATATAAAAGAAGACTGCAGATACTGCTGTGATTTTAGGTAATATCATAATAGATGCACTTTAGGTAATATCGTAACAGTGCAGCAGAAAATGCAGGTACTCCACATATGAACAGAAAGGAACCTTTTCTACACCCCTTCTGAATTTTCTCCTTTCCCTGGGTTTCTCAGGCACAACAGACCAGACCTTGACTGTGTGTTACCTCTGTACATCTAAGTGGAACAATTTCCTTACGAAACATGCCACCAAATTAAAAAAAAAAAAAAAACTGAAGCATGTGCTTGAGATTACATATATAGACCAACAGAAGTTAGAAACACTTTTTGCCTTCCATCACTTCATACAGTTAAGCCCACATAGGACAGAGATCATTTCTCTTCCGAGGACACATTGTCAGGACTTTTTAAAGGAATGTCACAAAATAGAGAACTGAAATTAATAATTTTCATTTCTTATTTTTTCATTTTTTTTCTGATTTGGAATGAAGAATCATTACATTGTTTATTTTTGTTATTTAACACAATATGGGTTTTACTGGATTTTCTGTTATAAACTGGAGTATTCAAGGTATTAGAAATTATAACAGGCAGCCTCACATATCATTACATTTTATATTTACCTCATGTATGACTATAGGACAAAAAAATTTCAGTTATTCACCAATAGATTACCTCTATAATAAATTATAATAAAAAGCATGTTAAACAAGAGTGACTCTATGCTGGATTTCAAAATGTAGTGGGTGACTAAAAACCACAGACAGAATAATATCTCCAGGTAAAAACTGTTTGAATTTCCTTATACCTATATTCTAAAAATCTTTTACCTGCAACATTTTAACTTGTTTCAAAAGATCAGTTTGTTTTATCAGACTGTGATGTGAATTAAGGATATTTATTATTAATAGACCTAAATACTGCTCAAAGTAGCAGTGATTACAGCTCAAGCTCATTTTTCCATGACTTTCTAGATTTTTGACAAAGCTCATATCTTAGTACATTACCAACTTTAATTACTGAGTGAATTTAAACTTTTTTGGGGGAGGTGCCAAGAGTATATAATTTCCAAGAGGCCAATCAGGAAAGTGTACATAATTGAATGAGAAATTTTTCTAGTCCTTTGGTTAATGCATTACCATTTTGTTGGCAGAAATGATAGAGGTTGTTGGTGTGCAGCCAACTCTAAGTTGTTTAATAGATGTCGAAGTACAGACACATCAAAACAAAGTTCCCATAATACTCCATGTTGTGGAATGATTGTAACCCCTTCCCTCACCAAATATGAAGTTAAGTAAGCTGGGTGTCTATATCTCTTTTGTTTAGGCCTTGGTGGAGGTGCCACTTACTTCTTCACAAGCTTCATAATTACAGAAATTTGACCGTTCTTGTGCTTTTTTCTTGCTTCATATGTTAGAAAATTTATTTGGTCAAATATCTTCAATTTTAGGTCTCACCATTTTCTATTACACTTACCCCTCTGTTTTTGTAGAGTTGATTTCCATACTTAAGTCAGTGTCCATTCTTCTAAGCCCTTCAGCTCTTTCCTAACTGCTAATATAAACATGATTACCATTCAAATGTCACTTTGATTTCTTGTTTTGTTAAACTGCAACTCCCTCCACACCCACAGTCCATTAGGATGCTGAGCTCTACCATACTTATTTAATAGTCCAAGAGCCTTGAGGCAGGGACTGACACACTGAGGTTTAAAAAAAAGGCTCAGCTTATTATAGAAGAAGGATGTAATAGTAGCAAGAGAAGGACAGCTTAATAAAACCATCTCAAGATAACCAAAGCTACAGTAGCATTGAGCAGCAGCTAGGCACTTAGGAAATGAAATGGGTGCCAGATCATTCATGTTACTCGTAATTTCTTGTAATCAGTAGTTATTACTAGCTACTCGACCACTGTAACTTTAAAATTCTCATAATGAAAATTCAGAACGCTGTGATGCAAAAGTATACCCCTGCTGTATTAGTGTTAAGAAGTTGTATCTTTCATAAAGGACGATCAAGTATCCTCCAGGCCAATAAGGAAAACTTTTTATTAGATGATTGCCCAGCACACAGTAGGGATACAACATTAGTTTTAGTAAGTGGATGATTCTTCTGCAAAAAGCACATTCAAGTTCCAGATCACCACCAGTAGGCATTTACCACTGAATTTCAGATACCTGCCAAAACCAGAACTATATAGGAATCAGTCTTCTCTATGTATTATGATGGATAGTATTCCAATCTTGAAACCTGGAACGAGTTTAGCATTTTCTGTTTCTGTATTAAGAAGTCTCCTTTCTACTACTGTTAGTAAATCTCTAGAATACATGAATCTGATTTTTACATATCCCCTTATTCACTCAGTGGATATTTACTGAGTACTTGCTATGTGTCAGGCACGGTGCACAGTGACAGGGATGTATTCGTTCATTCAATGTACAAATTGTCTACTCTGTCCAGCCACCATTCTAGACTCTAGACATAGTAGTGAACAAGATAGTCATAGTTGGCAGAGGAAAGCACCAAGCCTTGAACTTTTATTTCTTGGTTCTCCACAGACCCTGGTTAAGCAGTTACTGTCTTAATTTGTGATTTCTTGAAGTGGTGCATAACTATGCAGAGTTTATATTTTAAAGGACCAACCGATTGAATGTTATTTGTGTAATGACAAGATAAAGTACAGGCATGACAACTAGAACACAGTTTTCACCATATTCATTGTGAGACTGTTTCTCCCTCTCTCTCAATCTCTCTTTGCCCCTCTCCTTCACTCCCTGCCCCCCGGTGCCCCACCCACCACTCCTTCCCTCTCCACTTTCTATTACACTTATCTGAGCATAGGATTACTGTTCACTTCAAGAGTTCTCATCTTAGGTCACCACAGTGAGATGTACTGCCAGGAAAGAAACCAATCCTTGGAAATACATTGAGAAAATTAACACACATATTTATCTAAAAGACAATACACACTCAGAATGTTTCAGATGGTTCTAAAGGTGAAGATAAAGTTTTATGTTCAAAAAGCAAACAATGACATTGGTTTGGACTACATTTGGAAGTGGGTATTAGTAAGGACAAAAAGTTCATACTTTAAGCATACTCAGAAACTTTTTCTAATTTATAAAACTAAGAGCTTTGATATGTGGTTGATAAGCTCAGAAAATTAAATTGGTTGAACTTTCAGGGTACCAGTAAAAAAAACAAAAACAAAAAAAAAACACAAAGTTATGAAAAGTATAGTGACTAGAATATTTTATATTGACATGAAGTCTACAGTTTTTTAAAATGCTAAATATATAGTAAATCACTGTGCTTTGCCCAACAGATACCTGAGGAGTCCCACATAGAGAACCGTGGAGCTGCACTGACCACCAGTAGGATTCTCATTTTTAGATTGCCTCCATCAAGAATGCAGTGTTGGTTCTATTGCTGATGAGCGGTGATCTGTCTGCCCGCACGTGTTTTGTTTTAGCTGACATTAAACCTATCTCTGATAAATGCTTTATATAAAGGAAACAGCTCTAAAGCTCAAGGATTCTCTTCAACTTGTATGCAGTATTAAAGATAGTAATAAAGAGATAAAGAAGAACATCAAAAAATATGAAGGGATCATTTCAGCCTTTTGACATCTTGATGAAATAAGATCACTCAAAAACTAATCAGTACTGCCGATAAAGAAAACCTAAATGTCTGTTTGTAACAAGCCAACTGGTACTGTTTCCCTCTTTCAGTTAATCACTGGACTGTGTTGAATCCTGAGATATAGCAATGTTATCTTCTATGTTCTGGGTGATGTGCAACCTTATTTGTGAAGGTGTGTTTTGTACCAAAGGCTCTCCTACATAGACTGGCCCATTTTACACGTAAATAAGTGAAGTCTACACTGTGCCCAGATGAATGGTATTAAACAGACTGGCCTAAAAGAAATGTGCCTTGCTTGATTAAACATCCTTTTATTTTTTGATTTAAAATGATAGATTTGCAATTAGTCTCATAGGTAGCTTTTAGCTTGAACATAAATTTAAAGATACATTAGTACTTATATGTTTAAGTTATCTATTTTAACTGAAATTTTAATATTTAGTTATAGTTTTCAGCAGTTCATGTATAATACACTCATTCAGGTTAGTTTTCATGTGATGTTTGGTGTGGTGAGACAAAGCACATTCTTAAAGATAGAAAATTTCATCTAATGTCTATAGAATTTCCTTCAGATTATATCTGTAAAAGGTTTCTTGACTCATTTTCTATTTTTGTATTTTATTCCTTTAGAAATGGAACTTTTTCAATAAAAAAAGCAAAGTTTTAGTTGGAAAAGAGATTTAGAAGGTCATGAAGATGATTTCCCATTTGGGGATATTTCACTTCTGTGCCATTATTAATGTATTTACTGTGACATTTCAGCAGAATGGTAGCTATTTGTATATTATTTAATAAGCCTTATGGAAAGTCAAACTGTGAACATTTGGTATACTGAAGATTTTTTTTCATTTTCATATTTTATTTTTGAAACATACCTGAACAAATGCATAAATAACCAATTTCCTGTTATTCAAGTACATAACGATGCTAAGTTATAATAAGAGGGCTTGTAGAATTTCCATTACTATCGAAGTATTCCAGTAGCAAAGCCAAGATTATAATACTTTCTGATGCCATGTAGAAGGAAATACGGTGATGAATTACATTGTTAATACATAAGAATAGGTAACTGAAACAGTCTTATAGCTATTAGCAGCAACAGATGGGTAGGAGATATAATCCAGGTAACTTTCTTTGAGGCAATGTCTACAATGAATTCTGTAAAATCTGCTGGTATTTTTTCTGTGGTCAAAATTTTGAGACCAGATCTCTCTAGGAAAAAGTGAAGTAAAAGAGTGGTAAGTATCTCAGATTTGAGCTATGTGAACCTCCCATCTGGGTGATTTGTGATTCAAGTGAAAACATAGCCAAAGCCACCACCATGTTTTTGTTCTGTGTTAGCCCACATACGAGAGACACTGGCCCAGGGAATTGTCAATCCATTCTAGCCACCTAATACTCATAACTGATGATCCCAGACTGGTCAACAGTAAAGTAATTCACATCAGCTATTGGCATGATTGAAACAAACCAATTAACTGTCCCATAGAGGTCTTTGACATTCAGATGTTTCAGTAAGGATCAGTAGGCATTACAAATATAGACATAAGTACCACCTTCAGGAAACACCAATGACACAACTTTAAGCATTATGTATACTTCATATCATGTCTGCATTATTATTATTACAGGCCACAGTTTCAAACAAAGACAAAGCCCAGACTTTGCAATAAAAGCACAGAATGGCACCAGATGAGTAGACTGTCATATCCAATACGGTTCACCCGAATGTGTAGCAAAAATATAGCATTGGTCTAGATATTATGAGACCAGAGTACTTACCCACTTTCTACCTGTGGGACGCTAGATAAGTCACTCACCTTTGCTAGGCTACAGTTTCCTGAATTGCAAGGTGGGTGTGCTGGGTTAAATAATCCCCAAAGCCCGTTCCCAGCCTCCAAATCCTCATTTATATACATTTGAAAAGGCTTTGAAGAATACTTAAAGTACTCAGATTTTCTTATGCACCTCAGAAGGAAAGACTACGTTGAAATAAGATTTAAACCTTGAAAGTGTCATAAATACACCATTCTTCAAATTGAGTGTGAGAAGAGGAAATAGGATTTTTTTTCCTCCTCCAAGAATTGTCACTGGCCTCTAATGGGATCATGAAAAAGTAGAAAGACCACTCTGCAGAATGGAAACAGATTAATGAAATTGCTGGAAAGGAGGGGAGATTATTTGTTGATTTTAATTAGATGTCAATATGATTTGAAATTGTATGTGAAATACTAAAAACAGTGCCAGAGCTTTACTACACACTCAACATTATAACCCCAGAGCAGAAGCGTGGGGAAAGGTTAGAAGGATGGGAGTGTTTACCTTATGATTGATTTTTTTTTTTTTTTTTTTTTTTTTTTGCACGAGAGGCAGTTTGGTAGAGTTTAAGCAGGTGCCTGTGCCTTAGTGCTCACTCTGCTGATAACTCAGGTGTCCTAGGGAAAGTACCTTTGACATCTCTGATCCCCAATTTCTTTATCTGTACAATGAAGACTTTAGTAATTTGTCTGTTTCTCTACATCTTTGAAAAGTCTGTAACATTTTCAGAATGTCCTGATACACATATACGTGGACACGTTGCTCCTCTCCTGGCACTAAGATGCCACAGATCTCTGCTCACATGACCGAACAGACTGCAAATCCAGCTGTTCCTATTTCTAATGGACCCTCAGCAAGACATAAAAAAAAGTAACTTTTAATTTTGACCGTGGCTTACCTATTATGACTTACCATTTCATCTTTGAATGTTGAGTTAATTGAAACAAAATTTCTGTTCCAGTGAAACTTCCGTTTAAATTTTTGTAGCTTAATAAACACTTAGCAAACCAGAATTAAGTATATTAGGCTTGCCAATGAACTGTAGCCGATTGCAAGGTGCATTTTTGTCGCATTAAGAAGGTAATGCTGTTTTAGTCCCAGAATCAATAGCTATAATTTGAAATAACATTCACAAAATTTTGTAAATTTTCATGAATACAAAAGAGGCCTGATAGAGCCATATTGTAATTAATTTTGCTCAGGAGTGAGAAACAAAATTCAGGGATAACCCAAACACTTCTGTTTGGCTTTTGTGGACAGTTGGGAAAAGAACGGTTATAGCTTTTGTACAACATAGATAAGAGATAACTATACCCATTGAAAAACAAGAGTATATTCTGGTTGCTGGTTTTATGGTAAAAAGAGATAAGGAGAGAAAGATGCTAAAATATGGACACTAGGGAAATTGTTAAAATGATAGTCCATTTGAGTAATACAGAAATATTTTGTCATAATGAGATTATTTGTCCAGAGGTTTTAGTCTTATATCCTTCCATTCAGAAAAGGGGGCAGTTTTTAAAGGCCTCTATCATAATAGGAAATGTATATTTTAACTAGCTGAGCAGTTCATTAAAACATTTAATCTGATGATTTTTGGTTTTGTGAATTCAGTTTAGGTGTAATTGAGTCTCTTATATATTCGTGTTAGTGATATTTGTGAAAAGTAGTTTTATCTATTTTTTTAAAGTTGATGAAATTTGCTCAATGGTGATTCTAGCAAATTCTGTTAATATTGTATCTTGCAACAGTTTGTGAACTGACCATACAGAAACAAACCACAGTAGTATCTCTTCCAGTAAATTGTATCCATGATGTGATCTCTTAATACTGGGTTTGGGGTGGGAAGGTTAAGCATTTAGTTTATTTAAAACTAATTGTCAAAGTGTTTTTCCTATATGCCATAAAATTGTATGATTATAAACCAAATAATAATATACTCTACTTTTTTTTCAGTATAGGCCATATTTGGAACTACCCCATGATATGGTATAATTTCAGTTATAAGTTCCTACAAGGGAAAGCAAACAGTGTATGTAGTATCTCTAGGTCGTATGTTAATGTAATAATAACAGTAGTCCGTTTTTGAAATCTTAGATAGTAATTATGCAGATATCCAAATACAGTTTTTTTCATAGCCGTGTCTTACATTTGTTTATTATGTCAGACTTTGTAAAGATCCTCCATATCTTAATCTTTAAATATGCATATAAAGTGATAATACAATCTGAAGTTTAGAGATTAAACAACAGATGGAAAGATCAAGTGACCTGCCCAAGATCATATGGCCAACAAATGGCTCCAAATCTCATTTTTTTACCCTGTTCTCCTTCTGTCATATTCTTTTGCCCCCATAACTGCCATATCTTTAAAACTTTAATTAAAATCTATTCTAAATTATATTTTGGGAAATTTCAGGTTTGGAGGACAAGGTATTTTTTGCTTTTGTCAGCCCTTCTTAGATACTTCCAGAAGACAGGGTGAGAGCCAAACATTTTCCATCTAGAACATATTAAGTCCGCATACCCTGACCACAGACATCAAAGCCATGTGATGTCAAATGCTAGACTGAAAAGTTATCTTTGTCACCTACCCTAATGATGGAACAGTTGAAAGAAGCAATAACCCAAGAAACAGCAGGCATTCTGATTCAGGGAAAACACACTATCAGACCGACCAGTGGCTCCGACTCTCAGCTTGTTGTTGCCCATCCCATGTGTTCTGTAATGAGGAGAGGACAGGTGGGGGGGAGCGGGCAGAAAAACTGTCCTCATTTTAAATAAACTCCTTATTTCTTAAAACTATTAAAAAAGAATTGGTTATCAAATATTAGATAACTGTATTAGTACCACTTAGCCATAATTTGAATATGCGGTAAAGTTCATCCACATATTTAAAAATTAGGTAATTTCACAGATAAAATTAAAATCTGACGACTGCTCAGTTTGAACGTGGAGAAGGTTCATGTGTTAAGTCGTGACAGAATACCACACTTTAATTCTTTTTTTTAAACAACAGAGAGGCACTGTTACTGCTTTCCCTTGTAAATCAATAGTCTGTGATACGTTCTGTACCCTTACTGATTAGCAATGCAGTGTTACTGTGCATAATTAAGTGGAGCATATGCTATATGATGTCGGAATTTACAATTTTCTCACCTTAAATTTAGTTCTCTTTATCAAACAGCTAAGTCAAACAAGTATTATTTTGTATGGAATGAAATAATAGTCATTTTCAAATAATGGCATAATAAATAATGGAATTCTGAATAAAATGTAAAATCAAACACTTTTTTCTATATTCTTTCGATATTGAATTATGTTAGTTTATCACTTATTAATGTAAAGCTTAAGTAAATTATTATGCCGTATTCTCTAATGTTCTTGTCATAATAAATTTGAGCCTTCTGTTAAGTAAATACAGTAAATATCTGTGAGTTGATTATGTGATATTTTTATCTGATCCATTTTAAAACTTGTCATTGGCTTTAAAGTGTTTTCATTGCAAATAATATGTGCAGAATTCAACAAAATAAAAAAAAATCCCATCCCTCATATGAATTAGTCCCAAACTCTTTCTTTTCTCTCTCTGTCTGCCTATCTGCCTTTTCCCGTTTTACTTTTGCAAAAGAGGAAACATCAAAATGGGGACTATTGTCAGTAGCGTAAGCATCACCAATCTCTGCGGACTGTTCTTTGTCTTCCCACGTGAGTCTTGGGAGGACTTCTGGGCATTACACCTACCGAGTCTTGGGGATGCCAACATTGTCTGGGTTTCTTCCCTTGCTTCCTATCATATACATTGTTGAGGGCCCAGAGGAAGCTCATGGAAGAAAAAAAGTATTTGTAATAAGCCTGTACCTTCATACTTTGTGTCTGTTATATGAGAAAATTGAAGCAAAGCAAATGTATGAAGGTAGATATAGCAGTGCCCCTGCTCTCAGACAGCTTCGAGTCTAATAGGTGACATATAGACATATTTCTAAGCCTGTAGATTAGGATTCTCACTATTAGATCCAGAACAGTCAAGTGTTAAATAAGGACATGCTGTTTGCGATGTGCATTCACTATTATGTCCAGTATTTTTTTGCACCGTGACAGACTATAATTTCTACTAATCAGCCTGTGCATACCCATTGTTCTTATTTTGTGCTTAGCAATGTGGATCTTAATTCTTTTTCCTAATAGCAGCTAGTTACTCAAACGTGTTTGTGCTTTCGGAATGTCAACACATGCTACATCACCAAAACAGAGGCCCTCTTGTTTCCATCTGGAATCTTACTTTGTCTTAAAAAAAAAAAAAAAAAAAAAAAAGTGCAGATTTAGGCGCCTTACACATGTAGTAATTAGCTATTAAAGAGCAAAGCATATTTTTCTAAGCCTCTGGTTAATACAAGAAAGAACTGTTTTTAAGCTTTCTGGTCGTGCAGTTTTGGTGGTGGACTCCATGAGCCATAATTTGTATTTCATGTTAAGGAACTAAATCTTTAAATCCTTCGCCAACATTTACGGAGTGAATTAAGAGATGCAGGATTACAAATACCCTCTTTGAACTATGCCTTCCTCCAAGAGAATTCTCACTTTTCTATTGGACTTAGCAGGAGCAAATTACTACATAATTATTACGGCTGCGTACCTTCTATGGGTTAGGGCCCACTCAGTTCTCGGTTCCCCTTCCTGTACTTTCTTTTGTATTATAACCTTTATCAATATTGTGCCTTTCTCTCCCTTAGGCCCATTTATCAGGCACTTATAAGTTCATTCATCATAGCCAAATGGGTCACATTATTTTTTTTTCAATCCTTCTTCATTTTCTCTAACTGGTACCTGATGACTTGAGTCATGGCAGAAGAGAAAAAGCCAAATGAAGAACTAAACCTTCTGAGAACGACACTGTCTTTTAAAATTTAAGGTCAGTGAAATCACTGTTTTGGAAATGAAGACACAAGAGGAGAAACAAGGCAAGTAACCCAGAAATCTGATTTCAAAGCATACCACTGACAAGGAAATGAGTGTATGTAGATAGTCTCTCACCCATGTCTGGTCCAATTTGCCAAAATAAATGCTTTTCGATGAAGATGAAGAATACGAGTTGATTCCTAGGCACATCTCATTAACCTTTACAATGTTGGTGAGAAATAGATGCCAGGTACCACTGGTTTAATTTATACCTATTATGCCTGCTACAAAAACAATCATTTCCACATGACCTGAATCTGAAAGCAATCAGGGACTGTGAGAGGGAAGTTCATCTGAGGGCCCAATAGGAATCTGGAAGCCAGGCTCGATGATAAGCATACCCGATGTCTTTAGCTTTCATGTGTCTCTCCAGAGATGCTGAGGAGCTCCTCAGAGGACAATGCTTGTACTGCCTTTTGGTTTCTGGTGATGGAGATGGACATCATTAAGAGAGAGGAGAAAGTGACGTTCATAACGCAGATGCAAATTTTTGAGGCCATGTTAATTTTTGCCTTAGAATCTCTGGAGGCAATTTATAGAGCTGTTTGAACTTTATGTCTGCTCTTGAGAAAGTAATGAGTTTGTGATTTTAATAAGCTTCTCCCTCCAGGCACTCTCTACACCCATAGAGAGGAAGGCACTGCACTCTGGCCGAGCTCTCAATACGTGTAGTCTCCCGGAAGGAACATGGCAAATGGTACTCCGAGGCCATGCTCCACATGTATGTGTAGTTACCATCAGACAGCTCGCCGCACAGGCAACCCACATCTGCGTGCCTGGAGTATAAAGTAATGGGGCCTTCCTGCTGTCCTGGGCTTTACAATATTCACAGTATCTTAAGTAGATATAGGTCGATTTATGTTTAAAAGCAATCTATAAAATCCGTAGTCCATAAAATAAGCAGAGA